TGCACGAATACATTTCCAGAGCTAAGTAAACAATGCAGCCCATTATCCAGATGTATTGTTTATGCATTTTTTGCTCCGTGGCCGGGGATGAGCAAGTGAGCGAGAGAGAGCAGCGAAAAGAGACACAGAAAGACAAAGAAGCAGAGAGAGAGAGAGAGAGAGAGAGAGAGAGAGAGAGAGAGAGTGAGAGAGAGAGAGAGAGACGTCTACCTGCTCCAAAAGACATCGTCTCAGTGAGCAGCACGGCACACTTTCCATTCCGTCAGCATTTTCCTCTACGTGCCGAACAGATCGCTAAAGGTACCACTTAATGTGATGGGAGACAGGATCTAATGGATTGATACACAGGTTTTGACATGCTATTTGAGCATGTAGCTCGCTATAATTGGTCTTGTCATTGTGCATTAAACTAACGATATATAGAGTAGTGCCCTGAGACGAGTGTCTTTAGCAAATCTGTCAGATATCAAACCAAAATACCTCTGACAGCAATCTCAGGCGGCGCGGCGCTCGGCAACACAGCAGCATGAAAAACCTGCATCCACGAGTGAAGGCGAATTTAAAAATCAGACCATCTTAAACTCTCTGTCTCTTCCTCTCTCCATCACTCGCTCTCTTCTAAATATCTGCACGTTATTATGAGCAGAAATGTTTTGAGCCTGCCACAGAAATCATATTATGGTCGTTTTTTTTTTATTTAGAAAGTAGTGGGAATATTTTTGTTAAGGAATAGATGGAAACAGGCAAACGACCTTTCGATTGAGAGTCATAAACAGGGGCGTCTCCAGGATGGGCTCCATGAAAAGATCTCACATTGGGCCCCCTCTACCACAGCTTCAGTCAACCCTGAGGTATTCCCATAACTGTGCCTCCGTTACACACCTTTAGAATGAGGTCATCAAAAATATGACTCCTTGCTTTTAAATACCATGCATATTTAAAAAGACCTTTACTTCTTTATTTAAGATGACAGTTTATTGGCTAGGGAATCATGGAGAGAGAGAGTCGGGAATGACAGAACCCGAACCCTGACCGTCCACTTGGGTGACTCACCAGCGCCCCCCAAGATACCACACATTTTAAAAGGATACAATAAGAAGCTTTAAATGTAGCTTCAGTAAAATCCACTCTCCATGTTTTTTAACTCTAATATGTGTCTCTAGTCTGTCTACAAACCCCCCAATGATGAGAAAAGTCCATCCTCTCCGTCTTCTGCCTGCTCCACTTTTCAGAAAATGTGTGCTCAAACAGGCCGTTTGGAGATTTTCCCTTCATGACATCACAAAGGGCAGTAACCCCTCCCCAGGTGGGTGACACTCCCACAGCTAGGTGTTTGTTCTGCCCTCTGAGTCTGCCTTCTCACCTTAAACAATAGGACATGAAGCGGGAAAGACCGAATACCCGAGCCCTTCCAGAGAGGGCGTGGTCAGACACAGCTCATTTACATTTAAAGGTACAGACACAGAAACAGCCTGTTCTGAGCAGGGCTGAAATAGAGGGGTTTATAGACATGATCAAATACAGGATCAGAGTGGATCTAGAATGACGTTCACTTTGAAACATTACAGACAGGTTGTCTAATTTAAACCTTGTGCAGGAGAAATGACCCAGTCTGAGCGCCTAGGACTTCTATTTATGTTACCATGGTAACAAAAGAGCTATACATGTAATTTGTATGTATAAATATGTTACAACTTTAAAAACTTCAAGTTTAGCATTGTGTTCATTTGTTTGACCAGTTTTACCTTAATGACAGTTTTGACTTACAGGGAAACAAATCCAAATGAAAACTTTATATTTATCCATTAATCCGGGCCCTGGTTAGTCAGTCCTCCTCCCTAACCCCTTGACACCCGTGGTAAGAGCTGTGTGTGACTCCTCCCTTACATTAGAGACACGGCTGGTCAAAGGTGAAGCTAACTTGGCTCTCCCTCGCTGATGTCAAAAGATATCAAGTCAACTTTTCCACGCCGGTTGTGTGAATGAATATCGTCTTCCCTCTTGGCACGCAAGGATTCAGTGAGACTCTGAGCTTGTCGGTGCCAACGCCGTGGTTGTTTATCAAATGAAGACGTCAAATCGGCGGAGGAACGTTTGATTTATGATTAACCCATTTTATCCTCTTAACCTGTTGATTTGTAAAGACATTCTCTGATGAACACGAGGCATTAAAACTCAGGAGAGAGCTGGCTGCTATAAATCTAATGGAAATCAGGTTTTATTTATTTACAGATCACCCGGTGTGTGTGTGTGTGTGTGTGTGTGTGGTCACAGCGGCCTGCTGTATCCGTTTGCACGACTGTGCAAGCACACAAAGACAGGACAGATATATATCAACGTGCTCTAAAGACGATCCACTGTTTTGGCAGCCATTTTGTTTCCTAAATACATAGCCTCTCCTCCTCAGCTGTCTGACTGTCGGTGCTGTCAGCCTCTCTCGTGTGATTGGTCTGATGGGTTTGATGCTCATCACTCTGTCAGGCCGGGCTCGCCTTTCATTAGTCTGGGCCCCTCCATCCGCCACACTCACACAAATCACATTGACATCCAAACTCCTCAGATCCACAGAGCAATTTAACTGATATTCATTAGAGGGATGACAAGAGCTGATGGGAGATCTGTGGAGTGGAGGAGTGGGGGGACTCATTCTCCTCCTCTCCTATCCCTGTCCTGTCCGCCTCCTTTCTTCCCCCTTCACTGCTGACTTTGTTTTAGGAGCATTGAGGCGCATCGGCGTCTATAACTACCCAGCCCTCAAGGATATTCAAGACAAAAGAACAATGGATAACACATCTAATCTCCTCTTTATTATCACAGAAAAATACAACTGAGAGGAGTTTTGTGTCTTTCATGCTAAATAATTGGCTACAGCCGATCCACAGCGTCTACATTGCTCTCCTCCAGCAGCGTCTATAAAGCTCATCCAAGCAGAAGTCCAATCATTTAGCCCTCTCCCTCCAGCCCCTCATTAACCCCCAAAGTGTCAACTATCTCATTAACGCCCCCAACCATCCTCACCCCGAGTCCATCACTAAGCGTAAAGCATTCATCAACACATGCAGTGTTAAAAAGAAGATGGTTTTATATCTGCGAGGACTGTGTGAGCTCGGAAAACTCGCACGATATTCAATAAGGCAGCTCAGCCTTTTTCATTTGCATTATCAATGGCTACCGGTCTGAATCCCATCTTTCAATTATCATCCTTTGTTAAAGGCTTTATTCTGCTTGTCAGATGTGAGTCATCACTGGGTTCTCCCACAACGTTACACCAATGTATCCTAAACGTCGGAGGGCCGGGAGCGAGTCTGAGGCGGTAATGAGTTTGTGTGAGAAGACGGGGTCAGGACACAGTGTGTGTGTGTTAATTAATCTGTTCCCGGGTGGGAGGAACTGAAGCGAGATGATGAGATTTAAGAGAGTAAATGGGTGTGCTGCACTCGAGCTGTCCTCTGTTGAGTGAGCGAGCAGGGTTAGAGGCTGGGCAAATGGCCGTCACCATGGTAACCAGATAACTTCCCCCGGCCCCGAGTCACTCAGTCAGTCAGTCATGACAAGCAGAGCCTGGGAACATCAAACAGAGAGAACATGGTGTCCCCAGGGGTCTTCAACGAGACAAAGGTAGATGGAGAAAATCAGAGAAGTATATGTGTGACCGTGTGTGTGTGTGTTTGTTACGCAAACTCTACAACATAAAAAAAAACTTTCTCATTACATGGCGCTGTGCCTGAATTGTGACTACTCTGATAGCGTCAACACCTGCCAGTAATATTGTTAGATCCAAAAGCCTGCTTTGAGGGAATAGCACCTGTCTGTGCATCCTGCACCACTGTCAGCTCGTCTCAGCGCGCCTATATAGGATCCGCTTTATTTTTTCCAAGGGACAGTCTTGGCGTCCAGGTGTGTGCCAGATCTGCTGTCTGTGCCCAGGGCTCCTGATGGCATCCAAGCCCCCGTGGTAATCAGCCCGCTCTGCCTGCTGTTGCAGCCCGCCTGCCTCCTCCTCCTCCAGTGGCTCGTTTCAGAAACATCTGGTGGTTTACATGCAGCACACACCACCTGCCAGACGCCTCGCAGGCAGTGGCACCGCTCGCACCTCAACAACAAGACGACACAGAAATCACCGGGAATATCGAGACAAATTGCGGATGGGAAGACAACTGCGGAAGGCTTTTCTAACTTCTGCTCAGGGTTTCTGCAGATGTAGCCCTGTGAGCAATCTGTCAGCTGATTTGTAAAAGCTTAGTCAGTACATTTTGGGGACAACAATTGCAGGACTGTTTTTTTTTTTTCAAAGATGCAAGGAGGGTGAAGAAATTAGTGCTGTCAATAGATTACAAATATTTAAATGAGATTTAACACACTATAAGCTGTGATTAATCACATCAATCACAATTTTGAAATACTTGTATTTACTTTATAAAATGTTGAAGTACACCAAATGTGCCTGCCAAATCCTTATTTAGGATTCTGGGATGGCCGGAGCCACCGAAATTGTAACTGTCAGATGTGTTTCAGGTGTCAAGCTCACCTGTACAGGTTGCATCTTTCCTCGGGTCACCATTACTGTTCACTTATTACTGTCAAGACTTCCTCCAGACATTTTCATGACTTAATGGTCAAGATTTTAAATCCTAAACATCAAACATGTTTGATATAAATCAGAGCGCCCCCGACAATTTCTGAGCACATCGGGGACGATAAGATCGGATCTTTTTAAGACTCACACGACAAGATCATCTGTGCAGATAATCGGCTGAGAGCAGCCTCGAGTCGGGAACATCCTCGCGATTGTCAGGAAGGAATCGCACTTCAAACCGGCCTGATTATCCTGCAGTCTGAGGCTTTAAGGTCTCTTGATTAATCACGTTCGACTACATCAGAAATGTGATGTGGATACTGTGTCTCATAAGTAAAGTGCTCAGACATGTCACTTGTTGAATCGATGCCGTTTAATTCACCTTTATCTAAAATGACTGAATGTGAAATAAAACACGTTTTATGCAGCAGTTAATTCAATTTAATCATAGAAGCACAAGGCATTAACATATTTGTATTGATTTTTTTTTTATCAAATAACATTTATAAAACTATTGTGCAAAACAATGTCCTTTTAATCTTCTTCAAAGGCTCTGCACCAGTGGATAGTCATAGTCCTCTTAAATTAGGAAATATAACAAGTATGCATAATTTAAACAGCGAGTGGTAAGCTTATACACTATATTTACATTTGTACACAGACCTGGATTTGAAACGCCCCTCACTCAGTGATCAAGAACAAGGCAGCTTTTACAATCAGCATGAACATGATTAGGCTGTACAGAGGAAAACATAAAAACAAGCAGTGAACGTTTGCTGTTTGGCAGATTCTTTAAGGAGCTCTCTCAGGCATTTGGCTGTTTTAGAATATTCAGAAATGACCAGTGTGAGAGGGAGCATTAAAAACCTGACAGGACAGGACTGTACACACGGGAACACATGCAGTCTATCAGCAAAATCAAAACCAAACTCACAGAAACACAAAATAAATACAATAAAGTTAATACACTTCAAGTTGTCAGCTGACCTTCTCGTCAAAGATTCACCGTCATCTTTATGTAATCTGTCCTCTGTTGTCTCACAGTGAGGGAGACAACCAAGCGGACTCCAAACTGGCTGGATTTCTTTGACCTCGAGTATATTTGAAAGTTAAATAAAAAGAAATCAGAAATGTTTACAGGCCCAACAGATGTAAACACCTTGTGCTGACATTAGAAACGTAGTTCATGGCATCTTTATGCATAACTACACTTTTTTTGACAGTCATCCTGCATGTGTGTGTTTTTTTTCCCCAGTATGTCTGCAGCTGGGAGCCATTTAATGTTTCTCTAGTTCACACACATACAGCAGATGGTCCTCTGGAGACTTCCCATGGCTCTTGCTCAGGTGAAGCTTGATGGCATGCTTAGTGGCAAATTTACGGACACAGAGCTGGCAGCGGTACACTGCCCCGTTACTACTGCAGTCGTCTTGTGATTGTGCAGAAAGGAAGGACTCCTGGGGCACCAGTTTCTCAGTGAGACTGTTGGAGTCCCTCACAGTCTGTTTGGGGGACAGCTTGGCCAGGTCTCTGATTCTGAAGCCTAGGTGGGCTTCCAGGTGGCATACGTACGCTGCTGGGGTTCGGATCTGGGAGGCACAGTCACTACAGAAGAATATAGGCTGACCAGAGTCCAGGTTTTTTAGGAACTTTGTTCTGCCAGTCCTCCTCAGCTGGTACTTGACGTTAGCCAGCCAGTGGCTGATGGTGGTCATAGAGAGTCCTGTGAAACGGGATACATGCATCCTTTCCTGGGGGCTGAGGTCATGGATTATGAACTTCCCCTCTGACGTCGGCCTCAGGCTTGAGGCAAACTGAGCCTGCAGGAGAAGAAGGTGCTGTGGGTTCCAGTTGGAGTGACGCCCTTTCCGTTTGTTTCCATGCAAGGATGCGTCATCATCGTCATGAGTTGAGCCAACGATATCGACTTTATCTGTGACCCGGGACCTTGAGGGGGGCTTTGGGACATGATGGGACTGTGTCAGGTTCCTCAGCATGTCTGAGATATCTGACAATGCGTTTTCATGCAGCGGGCTGCTTGATGTGTAGGGTGAGACCACTGTTAGCTTAGCAGGAGTAATGAGGGAGGAAGGGGAGATGGAAGAAGCTGTGGATGAAGGGGTGAGGGGAGCTGAGCCAACGGAGCCTCCTCTATCGCTTTTCCCTTTTGTGAGGTCCATAGGCTGGTCATCGCTGGGCTGGCAAAAGCTATTATCAACCACACCTTCCTGCTTTTTGGTCTGTGAGGGAGGGGCGGCCACAGCAGCCCGCTCAGCCATGCTCTGACTGAGTCTGGAGAGCAGGCTCAGGGGATCTTGGTTTGGCAAGGAGGGCTTGGCTGCTTTCCCCAAATGAATGTTCATTACTGACTGAAGAGCACTTAGAGGGTTGACAAAGGGCTGCTCTGGAGGAGTATGGCCAGTAATAATGGCAGTGCTGCCTCTTAGTGTGGAGGCGAGAGGGGACCTGACTGCTGCCTCTCTCCTGGGTTCTGTTGCCGGGGAAGCTCTGTCGCTATGGCTTCCCTTGTCGCTATTGGCCGGGGTGACGGCCCTCCATTCCCGTGGTGAGTCAGCCTCTCCTCCCTTGAGCGACTCTCCAGTCTCGCTACCACACGGTGAGAGATGGCTCTCCATCTTAGGAGACATCTGCTTCACCCTCCGCTCTACTTTCGCTACTTTCTCAGTCACTTTTTTCACCAAATCCTCCATTGCCTGGAAGTTGTTGCTGGGGAAGGGGGAGGAATGACTAAGCGGTGGTGAAATAAGGGGCTGGTTCTTTGGAAGGGAAGATAATGCTATGTCCCCTCCGTTGAACAAGAACTTCATTGGGGAGTTCTTTTCCATGCTGCCCTGTTGGAGCTTGAGGGCACTGGGGAATTGGTAGGCTGCGTGGATGCTGGGGTAGCCGCCCCAGCTTGGATTCCCACTCTGTGCCTTATTGATGGCTGATGTCACAGTGTTTTCCAGTGATTTGAGGATATCAAAGCCCCCTTTAGGGCTCTCCTTCAGGTCCTCTTCCGTCAGATAGTTGTACAATGAGATGTCATATTTTACCTCCTTCTCTGCATCCTCCTCCTTCCCAACTGACGCTACAACTTGCCTCTCCTCTCCAACCAGCTCTGTCTGAGTGCACTCCTCCTCGACCTCCTCCTTTTTGATCTCTTTAAGGGGAGGGGTGGTAGCAGGGGGAGTCGGGGTACTTTGAAGAGGTGGAGGAGAGAAGGTGGAGGGTGCGAGTGGAACCGACTGGACCCTCTGTTCAGTAGGTGTGGCAACCCGGCCGGGGTTTGGGGACGTGGCTTCAGGAAGTGTTTTGATTTTCTTTCCCACAGAGCTGGTCACCCTCAGGAAATGTCCCGTCACCATCATGTGGGATCTCAGCTCTTGCAGTGTATTATGGGAGCTACCACACTCCATACACTTGAGGATCTGGAATTTGTTGGACTCAAACTGCCAAGCGTAGCTAGCACCGTTCTGGTGTCCGTAGCGGTTGCTGGAGGTGGTGTAGGGGCTGGAGGAAGGTCTTTGTGGGGGTTCACTCATGTCTGCAGGTGGATGCTTCGTTTTGGGGGTTGCTTCTCTAGAACGTGGCAAGGCAGTGAAGTCCAACCCTACAAGACCTCTTTTCTTTGAAGACAGGATTTTGGCTGCCACGGGGGCCATCGGCTCCTTCAGAGGCACTTTCTGGTAATGTTTGGTCTTGATCATGTGGACACTGAGGTCCTGCAGAGATTCAAAGGAGTGGCCACAGTACATGCACTTTAAAACTTTCTGAGCATCCTCCTTCCCCTCCATCTCTAACAGGGATCGCTTCCGTGGCTTGGACCAGCGCTTCCCCCCACTGCCTGCCCTGTCGTGGTTGTCATCGCGGTAGTGGCCTGTATCATTCATGTGAACTGTCAGCTCCACTAGGGTGTCATAAGCAGCACTACAGCCCTTACAGCGGAATTTACTGGCCCCGGTAAAGATGGAGCCAAACAGCTTTGGGTTTTGTCTGTGGAGCTGGACTGTGCTGAAGAGGCTGGGCTCAGACTGAGTGTGATGACGGCTCTGGGGAGGGTGCTGTTGTAGAGTCTTTGCCACTGCAGACTGGTGCCAGTCATAGCTACCACTGCTGCAGCTGCTACTGCTACTGGTGCTGTTGCTGCGAGCTGGCTTCTCTGTCGAGACTGTTGATGGCACCTGTGGCGGGGTGGAATTAAAGTTCAGTGGAGACCACAGAGGGCTGCTCATGAAGCTGGAGTAGATGGCCTTCATTTGTTCTAAGGTGTCCACGCCTATGGGAGGTGTTTTAGTGCCACCATTCAGAGGTGCAGTGACCAAACTGCCCTCAGCCTTCCCAGAGGGGCTCTCAAAGTCTGAGAGGCGGTCACTGGTCTCGCTCACATGTGACTCACTGTCCATCTCTTGGCCTGAGAGCTCTGGGGCCCCTGCTGATTCCTGGTCGCATGCTTGCTCCTTGGCAGGCCCCACGCTCTGCTCCTCCAACTCATCTTTCATGGGAAGGTCATCCTGAGGGGCTGAGGGCAGGTCATCTGCTTCTGCCTCCTCTTCCTCCACGACGGGCTCTGTCAGGTCCTCGGGAGAATAGGCTGCGAGGAGAACGGAGACAAAGAGAGACAGAACGAGATGAGTTAAATTGCAGGGAGTGAACACGCTATGTTAGAATAACTGGAGAAAAAGTTTCCCTGCTATGTGTGCCCGAGGACTCCCAGGGATAAATGAGCCATCTGTGTGGGAGCCTTTAAAGCTGAGCTGAGAAATTACAGTCATCCCATTTCACCTCATCAACCGTTGAGGTGTTATTTTCCTCTAGGCGAGCCTGTATTTATATACTACCCCAGCCACACGGAACTTATGCCTCCCCTCTTTTCACTCCTTCTATTGGAGGAAAACAAAAAAGAAATATCTTGGCAAAAACATAATGCGCCATTTTATTTATCTCAGGGCGCAACAGCTTGAAATGAAAACTAAATCTGAAATTAATGAAGCCCAATCTCACTGTGGCATTCTCCTCTGGGGTAATAAATGAGTTGGATCAACCTCCATCTGTCAGTTAATATGTCTGACGCCTCTTCATCTGCCTCTTCTCTGATTACACACACACATGCAGACACAGAGACTACCACACACACAAGCGCAGACAAAGAGCATATCTGGAAGATTTTACAGAAAGGGATGTCAGAATTTTGTTGCTGAGCTGAACGTCCTACGGTGTCGTCTGGACTGAAAAGAGTTCATTAGTTTCTTAATTTGATGAAGAGAGTCATTTTCGAGATGCACTTCTAAAAGCAATTCTCAACAGTGGAAACAGGTGGCAACCACAATACAAAGACAGCTTAAAAAAAAACTAAAACAGAAGGGAGGAGGAGAATGAGAGTGTAGGCAGAGGGAGGTAAGAAAGAGTAGCATCAAAATGAAGGCAAAAAATGTTTTTTGTATGTTACTGCCTACAAGGAGAGGGATGTGTGTGTGTGTGTGTGTGTGTGTGTGTGTGTGTGCACGCATGAGTTTATATATGATGAACCTGCCCTTTCTAATACACACAAACCGGTGTCTCCAGTGGTGGTGAGCCAACACACCAAGTCATCCACCACTCACCCCTTTCTGCAATGTCACCCTCCCTCATTTCCTGTCCACCTCGCTCATAAAAACCGCTTGACTTAAGAACAAAATCCTGAAAGAAGCGAACGCATGGAGACAAATCTGAGGCCATTTGGACAATACTGTAAACTGAGACAAACTGCAAAGAAAAAGCTATAGGTGAAGCTATAGTTTTAGAGCACACACACAGACACACACACGTACACAAATACACACACTGTGACTAAATCCTTCATTCCCCTCTCCGCCCCACGCACACACACGTCCAGTCTAAACAAAAATGTCATAGCTGAAATAACTCTCATTTCCAGTGCTAACAGCCAATCTCTCTGCAGCCATGCGGCTGGCGCTGGTCTGATTTGGGCCCTGGGGGCACAGTCAGCAGGCAGCCCTACTGAGAGGCCAGCCTAATGGAGACCTGGCAGGTGCGGCCCACTCTCCGTCCTCCCGGAGATTTGGTTTGTCACTGGGTATCCATTACCTGCCATTCTCCGCTGATAGGCCCCGACAGCCCTGATCAAAAGATGTCGTCGGGCCCCAGTCCGCTTGGCAGTCAGTGGCATGTCGTTTGTAAAAAGGGCCAAGCAGGGTGTAAATAAAATGACATGATCACTTCCCCGGCCCCTCATGTTCTGGACACAATTATGATAATGTGGACGTGGAGGGGAAGGAGGGAGGGAGGGGTGTGTGAGGATGAAGAAGTGGGCGAGGAGGTAAATCGCTTACGCTCCGGCAAACACGCAAAGGAGATATCTGACTGCTAGCAGAGCTCATACGACCGTTCGACCCTCTTTCTTCTCTCCTTCTCTGCAGTGCTTGAAGGTTTCCGTGTCAGATTCTCATTTGAAGAAAGGGAACGCATCGAGAACGAGGTAGTTCAAGTGTTTGCATCCTCACGAGCTGGTCACAGATGTCAGCCTGCATCAGGGAAATCATGCACAGCGCTTGACCAAGCTGTCAGGTCACCTTCCTCTGCCTCATCAAGAAAATATTTCTTCACAATGTCCAGATATCTCATCAAACAAGGGACATCAGAACATGACACTCGTAAAAATTAAAACTACATCAATCACTGTTTTGAAAACACAGAAAGGAAAATAAAAGTCTGACCTAAATGTTGGGTCACTTCTTGTTCAATAACCAAAAATGACAGGCATCATCGTGCACAATGTCTGAATACTTTGGGGACACTGTGCTCTCTCTCTTTCTCTCGCTGCAGCTTTAGGTCGAAAATGCGACTGAAGACCGGAAGTTTCTTCAAAGTGTCTGTTTTTTGGGGAATCTGATCATCCGTTTAATAAAGGCAGGACTTTTTAAATCAGGTGATCAGACAAATAATGAAGCTTCCATCTAACTATCGTCTATCATGTCATGTTATCACACCGACATGCGTGCAGAGGCCTCTCTGAGTGCGCCTGAACGTGCTGGTAAATGTTTTACATTTCATACTAATAGAGCTGCAGCCTCTTACCTTAGTGTTCATTCGTCATTACGCTCAGATAGAGGTCCAAAAGGACTCGCTATAAAAACCTACACAGCCTAGCTTTGCTCCCTGGCAATTTAAAATGCAAAACAAAAACCATTATGTCTGAGCACTATCTGTTAATTTAATCCCCAATGACTGATAATCCATCACACAGGGCGACAACCACATCCAATTATTCTCCCTGGCTTGACTGACAACAGAGGTGATTTATCAAGCTAATAAAAGGTGATGGGAGTATAGAGGCTCCCTTAGAACGGAAAGAAGAAGAAGAAGGGTTATGAATACAACAATGCTCTTGGATGCAGTCTTAACTAATATGTAGGCATATGGTGTGGGCTAATGTGTTAGTGTGTGTGCGTGTGTGTGTAGTGATAAAGGGGGAGGATGCCATGTGGAGGAAAGACAAGAATCATTACGCTCATTGAATGATTCCTTTTTTTTTTCCCTCACAAATGTTAGGAGGTGCACTTTCACACAATCAACATCTCAGTCACGGCTAACCTGAAAGTAGCAACAACACGTTCCCACAAATGCAAAGAAAAACACACATTTCACCTCAAGAAACCGCCGCAAACACGCCCACATTTAATTATAAATAAAGATAGTCAGTCAGTTGTGACACCAGTACACACACACACACACACACACACACACACACACACACACACACACACTCACACTCACACTCACACTCGTACACACACGCAGATGCAAGCGATGAGGAAAGACAGTGACATCTTGGCATGCAGGAGGCATTCCTGTGGAGTGTCATTTTCATAAACATAAGGGCTGCAGACGAGGAGGGAGAGATCATCTGATAGAAATACTGCAGTGCTGCTCTGACGATCAGGAACAACACACACAGGGCAGGGACACGGGGGCGATTAAGCAGGAAGGTGCTCTCACTGTCTCTCTGTCTCCGTCTCGGGGGGTTGTTCCTCCTCGAGTGCTGCTCAAAGCACGGTCTGTTTTCGACGCTGCATTTAAAATGGGCCAAGTGTGCAACGGTGATAAAACACGAGGACTAAAGAAAAATCAATGTGTGTTTACCGTTTAGGAGTCTTTGTGCTGCTTTTTATTTTTGCAGGATTATCAATTATAATCAGGAGTGAATTATTAAAAGCACTAAGCCCCTCTCCCTTTTCCTAAATCTGTCCCCTGATGACCACAGAAAATAATTTGGTCGGCGCTCCACAGCTGGGAAAACAGTCTGCACGCCGGCTCACACCCACAGCAGCGAGTAAACAGGATGTGTCATTAAACCCTCTACCTGTGTCTGACCCTCAGAAGCTCTGAGAAATAAAGACAACCTCGCCAAAGGTGCAGTGATATTAAAAAAAGAAGTGGAGCCATATGTGCGCTCATCCTGAGTGCAGCACTTCCTCTGTTTTTTTTCTTTTCTTTTAAAAGCATGCATGGACGGTACACGTTTGTGTTCTCTCATCAAAAGGAGAAAAAGTGATTCTTTTAATGAAAGTGTTAGACTGTGATGGCTCGTTTTTAGTCTCATTTAAATCTGACCAGCTATAAAATATAAATTCATCTTAATGGGAGGAGATGCACAGCAGGAGATTTTGCTGATTTAGCTAAAATACACAAGAAATACTTATAAAATCATGAAGATTTTATTGATCAGCTCTCAGTGAATTATTTATTTTAGTATTTATTTTAAGTGTTTGATTTCCTCCATTTTATTATTGTGTTAATTCTAGCATTTTATCGTCCCGTGTTTCCTCATTAAGAACTCACACACACACACACACACACACACACACACACACACACACACACACACACACACACACACACACACACACACACACACACACACACACACACACACACACACACACACACACACACACACACACACACACACACACACACACACACACACACACACACACACACACACACACACACACACGAAATAAAGTCCAACGTGTAAGAAAAAGGCAGAGGCAGACGGACGGTTTTAAATAAATATTGACATCAAAGAGGAGAGTACAGACGTGTGTAAAGGACGTAAACCTTTATCCATCCAGTCGTTCAATCAGTGAGAAGAATTACAAGATCAAATCATCACAACCTGATTTCTACCAGGAATAAATGAAAGAGCTGTAAGTACGATTATTTAGTTCATCTGTCAGAATGAATCCTTCAAAATAATGTGGGGAAAACTTTTTATTTTAGTGAATAATAAACGTTAAACTTGTGGCGATGCTGCAGATGATTAAGTCAGGTGTTTTTAAAATATAAATACGACGGTAGAGGAAAAGAGAATTCCTCCGACTCATCTTTATGAAGTTAAAATAAAAAAAACAGACGTAACTGAAGCGTGTAGAGACTTTATCATTCAGCATATAATATCTGAAATCACCCTAAAACATTTCAAGTAAGGGTTTTGATTTGTGCATTTAATGTTTTTTTATTTTTAAAGATAAAAGAGACATAAGGACGTCTTATTTCCGTCCTATAAAATCGTTTTAAAGGATCAAACAG